TTGAAATGGAAAGGCTAGCTGGCAACTGGCCAATGAGGGTCAACCCAAGCCCAGGACGGCCGTGCCATAGCATTGTGCGGCACGTAAAACCCTCCGCATTCTTGTCTGGCGAAATGGCGGAGGCAAAATTATCTGTTGAACTGGACGGCACGCTTGGGTGGTGGGTTCGGAGAGCATGTAATAAGCTATGCTTAGCAGGTACTCTGAACCCAAAGTCACCCATGCAAATCATTCAAAAAACAAATATTTAAAAAATCCGCACCATTGCCCCTCCGCCGTCCTCAGGCACTGGCCGCCTAATACATCAGCCGAGCCAATCTCTCATTAAAGAGATGTAGGAATCGGCTTTGAAAGATGTTGGATCTAAAGCCCGTTCTATTCCATGACTCGTCCGCGGAGCTGGACGGGACGACTTAGGTGGTGGGTTCAGCTTATGCGCAACAGCAATGCCTGGGAGAAACTCTGAACCCAGGGCATCCGTGTAGACCATGCGGGATGAAGTTATAAAAAATAATCCAGTCATATTGGGTTCGTTTGATTATTTCACTGTCGTAGGCATTTCTTTTCACGAAAAACAGCATTTTAAAGCTTTACTGCATGGTTTCCTTTTGCGTTTGGGTACTTAGCCGATAGCCCTGTCATCACGGAAAACGCAAAGGGGATTGACGTTTTTGGTCAACTATGCTGTTTGACGCATCCAAACCCAATCCCAATCCAAAGATTTCCAATGCGCAGGATGGGGTTTTTCGTGCTGCGAATGCAGCCATAGTCACCACGCATAACTTAGACAAGTTCCAGTGCTCGGTGAGAAATTTGCATACTCAAACTATGGTCGTTTACTCTCACTGCCAAAATAGTATTGGAAAAGGGAGTTTCCCTGTTAAAAAGGTCGGAAAGGTGCATCATCTATGTGGTCAGGGTATATTACTTTTGTACCCAGCGCGGTAAACTTGAAAATTTTCCGTTTTGCAAAATAGTAAGGGGACGTTCTCACGGAATCCTTAGGCGCACCCTTGACCAATACTGGGGCCCACGTGAATCTCAATGTGAATATATTATGCATAGCAGCATTGCCCCCCCCCCCCTTCCTCCAAGATAGAGACAGTTTGTCATTACAGTCCTTTCTAAAGCCGCCTTTACGTACAGCTGTGTTGAATACGGGACGATATCTGATTAGCGGACCCCGGCAGCACGTGCAAAAACCAATGGATGAGGTGACGGCCAGCTTTGGTGTGGACTTGCCATCATGTACTTTAAGAATTCCAAACGTTGTGACTGAAGATGAAATATGGCTAGGTCGGCTTCAAAGAAAATGAGCACACGTAGGGTGCATAGAGTTGGTATCAAAGTCTCTGAAATGATCAAAAGATGAAAGACTTAAAACTTAGGTCAGTATATGCCTCAAAACCAAACAGTGCCTACAAACAGCAAATTGCGCATCGCGTAATGTCAGCCTTGTGGTATTCTATTATATCATACTCAGGCTTCAACGCACACCGACATCATTAAAAGTTGGATGGGTAATCCCGCATAAGAATGCCAAGATGAAAAGCTCTGAAATGCTTAGGGTTTGAAAGGCTTTCTGAATACCTTGTACGGGAGGGACTGCATGAGAACCACTTAAGAAGTATGGGACGTAAATACGTTTTAAGGCCAGCAAAAGCCGCTCGGAAGGCTCATCTTTAGCAGCGTTCACCTCTCAATTGGCTTTTACAGTCAGCTTGCCAAAGTTCTCTGACGGCGGCAACGTCCCGGCAACACCGGTCCAAACATTGTTCCGGTGCTACAGAGATCCCCAAGCTGTGTCTAGTTCAGACACTGCTCCAGCACCACAGACACCTTCCAAGGCTGTGTCCGGTCCAGACACTGCGCCAGCACCACAGAGACCTTCCAAGGCTGTGTTCGGTCTAGACACCGTTACAGAACCTCCCCGAGGTTGCGTCCAGTCCAAACACCGTTACAGAACCTTCCCGAGATTGTGTCCAGTCCAGACATCGTTACAGAAACTTCCTGAGGTTGTGTCCAGTCCAACCGCCGTTCCAGAACCACCGGGACCGACTGATGCCGTGTCGGTTACCGGTACCGTTGAACCAAATCTTAAATATTTGAATGGCGAATGCATTTAGTCGTCCCATGTTGGCCAATGGACAACAGTGCTACACATTCATGACGGTTGGTATTTTGACGATCAGGCCAATTTCTTTCGTTGGACGTTTATTGCATATCCATCATACCTCCAGTGAGAAAAATCGGACGTTTTACGAAGCAATGTGACCAGTATGTTTATGCAAGGAATCAAAGGCGCAGGCGCGACCAACATTATATCTAGCGTCATACAATATTCTTCAAACACTCAGTGCACCTTTATGTCCCTTAAAGCGGGTCCTAGTCGCAATGCCATGTAATACAGTGTGGCATATTGTGCCACAACAATACGCATTACTGCTGACACATTACTGTTCGCTGGCACACTGGAGCAAGACGGTAAAAACTTAACTAGTCAGCACGCGTAGGTGTACTAAAAGACAACTGGTGACATGAACACAGTGCACAAAAAGCGAGCTCAATTCACTAATGAGCAACACGTTTTGTAAATAAGTAGACGTATGAGCTATCTGTCGGAGAATATCGGTAGTGGCACATACCCAGTTGGAGCAGTTCTGAGCGGCATTCTTCAGCCAGTAAAGAACGATGGAATATCAAGAAGACTATTCACATGTGCACGCAAAACATAAGCACCAACCCGAAATGGCATGCAAACCAAGAGGCATGACTGCCATGCTCATAAGCGCATCGTCAACAAAGTTTTGCGTTTCCATACTATTGGTAATGCGATAAACAGATAACTACTAGAACATTAACAAGACATCGTTTCCACATGAAATTCATAAAAGAATGGAATCAACTGACCGATTCATACAGCGGCGACGTCACGGACAATCAGATGAAAAGCTTAATGTAGGGTTGTGATTCATGGCTTCGCGTGGTCAACAAATCAAGGCACCGACTTTTCAGGCACTATCTTCAACACCGGAAGATGGCATCAACAGTACTCTCCTTGATCGTGTCCGCTATGCGCTTGCTTGCTGGTGCCGTCTTTCGGCGCGCTGCACTCTCTCTCCTCCCTGTCTCTTTGCCTCTTTGGTACGGAGCTTCACCACATGTCTGCTTCTCTGCGAAGATCTACCATGGCGGGGTCGAGTTTACCTGGCGCCCCTCTCGGCGCAGAGTATACAAGACACCGGTGGCACCCGAGTATCGTGGACAGGCTCTGGGGAATGCTGGCAACACTGAAAATATCGGACCCTTGGCGTCGTCTGACTAGAACAGTCTCGGCCACCCGTGGCAGCGGCGGCTATCCCCTGGCATGCGACTAGCGGCGGAAGTGCTGGATTGGATGCAGCTCGATACGCACAGTTCACAAGCGTGGCAGAGTTTTGGCAGAGCCTCAGGGTGAGTCGCGTCCTCTGGTCGTTGAGGCCCCTCCCCTCAACCCTGGACGTGGGCCAGACGTAGACGTGGGTCTCCACGGGCTCCGGGCCACTCCAGGCCAGGTCAGGTCTGGCCAGGATGGTCAGCCAGGCCAGCCATCAGCACAGTTCCCGAGCTCCCGTGGCGCAACAGAGACAGCAGGCCGGGCGTCTATTCTCATGCAGCCGCGACCAGCCATGCTAGAGCTCCTCGTCCCCACAGGCGGTCGAGAGTCCGTTCATTTGTATCAACTATCCTCACGCGGCGACCGGCGACCGACTCGGCGCCATCTTCCCAATGAGCCTAGTACTGGTAGTACTGCTCGCCGCCGCCGCACTGCCCAACCGTCAGCGGTGCCCGCTCGCCGAGGCCCAGGTCGCAGGCCACCATCTCCTGGATGTCGTTGAGGGCATCCAGCGCGGCCGTGGCCGTGTGCAGTGCGCTGCTCGGCAGCGGACTGATCGGCGTGCCCATATAGGTGGCGGGACTATCAGGCCGACAGACGGCGCCACTGGCCGGCGGCGCGCCGCGGTCCGGCTGCAGGTACCGACTCACGCTGCTGTACGGCGGCAGCGGCTGGTATGTCGACGGGTATGGCGACGATGACGTCACGGCCACGCTGTACTGCTGCGGTGGCAGGGGCGGCACCAAGTGGGGCGATACGGGATGCAGGTTGTGGTACGGCGGCGGGCTTCGCTCCGGGCGATAGCCTGAGGACGCAGAACAGTCATCTGGGTTGTGCGACCTGTCAGTGGTTAGCACTCGCTGAGTTAGACCTGACACTGTATCCTTTATTCCACTGCATTAATTTTAAAAATAACCCAGGGAACAGAAAACATCGACTGAGACCAAAACAGCTGAAATGTCATTGGTCTAACGTATATTCCCAGCAAACCACGGGAAAAAACTCCAGGCGCGATGGGATCGGCTGGCTACCAACACAAACAATTGGTACCTCATGGACCACAAATATCGCAACACAGCAGCTTCAGTGGACATTGATGTTGATTTATTTGCTTGGTTCTGACATATGTGATTGCCCTTAAAGCCAGCTAACATCAATGTTGAAGACTTGCTCCATAAACGGAGAAACGGGGACGGATGCATCTTGTCAGGGTGTCACGTTTTGTCCGTCATGTAAAATACCCAATTAAAAAGCCGTTACGTGATTTAATGCCTCAAGTGCCGTGCATGTGCATCACCCATAACATTGCACGGCAGTTGTGGGTGGGGCTTTTCACACTTTTCACACATTTCACACAGCGGCGCGTCCGGTGACTGTGCGGGGCACAGCGGGCGGGGCGGCAGCGCTGCTCCGTACCGTACTGGGCGAGCGTGCCGTATTGCGCCGAGCCGCCGCCCAGCAGGCTCGGCGTCAGGCCCACCATGTTGACCGCCCGGTTCACGATATCCGGGCTGACGCCGGTGCAGGTCGAGTCGGCGTCCGGGCTGGCACTAGTCACGTTGCCGTTGCGCCGCCGCCGCTGCCGTCCGCCGGACGAGTCCGACTTGGGCTTGCGCTTTCTCGGCTGGGGGCAGAGGCGCGGTCGGAGCTCAGGAGCCGAGGAGCGCTGCGCGCGACGCCTGGCGGCCGGGGTCGTAACCGCGACTGGAAAGAGATCGCGCGCCCCAGCGGGGAGCCATCAAAAAGTCCAGGATCACAGCGTCCAGCGTTTATATCGTACGGGATCGCAGCATCCAGTGTTCATAACGCCCAGAAAACATACAAATCCCTGCCCATTGGGGGCGTTCATAAGGTCCAGGGACGCAACGTCCAGAGTCGCAAAGCCAGAGTCGTAAAGTCCAGTGTCAAAAACGTCCAGTATCCATGACAACCAGGCTAGTCTGGATTTCTGCCGCTAGGTAACACTACAGAGGCATCTTTATGTTCTGCCTCTATTTCCCTCTTTTGTCAACAGATGGCACAGTCAACCTGGCATTCTACTGATGATCACGTAATGCGTACAGTCAAGCATCGCTAATATAAATACATATACGCCTGGCGGCCGTGTTCGGTCCGGGTGCGGCCGCGCCCCGGGGCTTACCGGCGGACTGCGCGCAGATGCGGCGCGGTCGGAGACATGGCGGGCGGCGCGGACTCGTCAGGAACCGCTGAGCCCACGGGATAAGCGGGTTTTCCCGCCCCGCCACTGCTGCCTGGGCCCCAAATGCCGGGGTACACTCGGTTGCTCAGGGGCCCTTCATGTTGGTATCGGTTTTTTCCACTTGCTTGGAGGACCCCGTGCTGTTGCAAGCACCCACTTGCATTTGGTGTCTCAAGGAAATAAATGCAGCGGTGGTCCGAAAGAAAGGTGTCGCTTGGCCGAATGGGCCGATGCAGGATTTCGTTAATGGAGAGGCACGGACACTGTGATGACGCATCATAAAGCCCCAATGACGACGCGTGCTGTTCGTGCCTGTTTCCTTGCATAGGGTGCCCCTTCCCTGAACGGTCCGATTCAGAATTTTTCCAAAGTGAAAGGCACACCGATTGTAATGCCGCTGGATTTTGGTGCCCTATTAAATTATAGTTCTGGGCTTTGTAAATGGCCCGCTTTGATTTAGTACCCCTTGGCGATTAAGATAATGTTGTCCCGCAAGGACGGTTTTTGTGCCTCCTTTCCCATGGGTCCGATCCAGGATTTTATCAGGGCGGAAAGATCAACATAGTTATGCCCCTGGAATTAATGGCTCTTTCAGAATAAAGAGCCAGGGCCTTTTCTGGTACTCTCTGGGACTGGGTGTTTCTTGAAAATAAAGGTCATGTTGCCCCGAAGTGAAGGATTTGGTGCTCCCTCACCGCATGGGCCGACGCAGGGTTTTGTCGAGACCACGGCACGAACGTCGTGGTGCCCCTGCAATTTGGTGTCTCATAAAAATATAGGTTACGTGCTTCCGAAATGAAGGCATTGTTCCCCCCCTTTGCAATGAGATTTAGTGCCTCTTCAGAGCATCCAAACCTCCCTGGGCCCAAGGGGGAGCGGAATGACCCAATGGCTCCCTCCCCCTCTGAACCCTCCCTTGCTTTGTGGTGCCTCAGGAAGTGTGTGCCTCGGGAAAATAAAAGCTAAGATGTCCGGTAATAAAGTTTTTTTGGTGCTCTCTCGTGGGACAGGCCGATCGAGAATTTTGCAAGGGTGAAAGGCATAGATATTGTGATGTCCATGGATTTTGAACCCTGTTTAAAACCAAAGCTTTGCGAAATTTGAATTGCCCATTTAGATAGAGGGGCTCTTTAAAATAAAGGTTATGGTGCCGCAGAAAGGAAGTCATGGTGCTCCAAACTGACATTTTGGTGTCCAATAGGCCAAGGGGCCAATCCAGGATTTCGTCAGGGTAGGAGGTATAACACTGCTGTATCCCTGAAATTTGGTGCCCTCAGAAAATGAAGGTTTTGGGCCGGTTATGGTGTAACCGGATTTCAGTGCCTATCGAAAATAAAAATTGTGGTCATTTGTGGTGCCCGTGAAATTCTGGAGCATTTTGAAAATAGAGGTTATGTGGATACAAAATTAAGACTTTTGCTGCCCCTTCACCATGGTAATTTGTTGACCCCTCACCCCAAGGTATAGCGGGCATAGCCTCATCCAACCCCACCCCCTATCACTCCGGGTCCGCCATTGGTCAAGGTCGGTTGACAAGACGCGCCTCATCGCCTCATCGACTCAAAGCGTAGCCCGTTATTTCTTTCTCATTTTTCATTCAGCTCCTCGCGTAAGCCCCATTTATGTCACTTTGGTGTAGATCTGAATACATACCGTGTTGTGTTTAGAACTGCAAAACCTAATTCCATGTTCCGAAAAGTGTTGTTTGTACATGCTATGTAGCTGGGGCCTCCTTCGCAGTACACATGTCTCATGTGTACTGGGCCATGCTGCCTCTAGACATTCCCCACGCAGGCTCTAAGCGAATGTTTCCTTCCAGTCAACAGGTACCCACCAGCGGTTCAGGTACGCACGCAAACAGGTACGCCCGCTGTGCTGCTACATACAGCCGACTGTTAGACGCCTATTGCATACTGCATCGCTCATCCCGTTTCAAGAGCATTTGCAATAAGCACCGTTGAAATGCTCTCTGCTGCCCTTGCCCCGAGCACACGGTGTTCCTACCTCCGTTACCAAGGGCATAGCAAAACAGTGAAACTAACTGTGCATATTAAAAGCTATAGTTATGACAGCCATAATATACACATATGCATATATACATATATAGTGTGTATAGAACACACACACACACACACACACACACACACACACATATATATATATATATATATATATATATATATATATATATATATATATGTGTGTATATATATAGGTTCCGGCCGTCGGTTGCCTTGGCCGATCAGCTGACCATTCGCGCCATTTTCATTCGCGCCAGCCTGCCTGTTGTCAAGCGTGTGAAGTTCGGCGCGTGGATGAGAATATTCTTATGGCATTAATAATTGGTCGGGTAGGGATGTTTCCCTTTTTGAGTTCCTCAAGCGCCGTAGTCGTTTAGCACCGGACCCCAGACAGATCGCGACTTGTCGCATGGGAGTTTGTTTTCGGAGGCGGGCTCAGTGTGAGATGAAACAAGGAGCAAGTAAATATGGAAGTAAGCAAACATTCTCACCTCACATGGCTGCGATTGTCGACAAAATAAGAATCATCTTTTCACGAAAAATCATTGCAGATGTCCAATGAAGCAGTAAGATAATGTGCAAGACAGCGAATGTAGGTACTCAGACATGCGTACAGCATAATACATGCAGAAGGGGTATCATCATCAATCACATATTTCCAAGCATTACATGATATGAATTCACACGTTCGCACTCTAATTCTGGTGACACATACCCCCCGTTATATCACTCCGTTCACAACTAGGCATGATATTACAGAGACCAGAACAAATGTGAGAAGAAACACAAATGCACGGTATGCTGTCATCTTAATCGAGACGTGCATCAGAGAAAACCTGCCTCTGCCTGAAATGACGGAAAAATCAAATTACATGGCAGAACCTGCCGCCACCCTACTGCCTACAGGCAACGTATTCGCTAAATACCGACAATAGCATGATGACATTTGTCTCGGTGTTCCTACACGCGATCGGCTGTTTGTCGCCTAACGCCTACACGATTGCATCTCCCGTTTCAAGAGAATCTGTAGCATGCCCTACACACCGGGCTTGCCGTAAGCGCACTGTGTGCTCCTACATCCATGATCACAGACATAGCGAAACAGTGAAAGGAGCTGAACATATTGAAAACTATTATGATCATATTCAAATTGCATACCCGTACCTTTGTCATATTCCTTCGGTTTTATGCGTTCGCTACAGTTCGTCTTACGCTATAACAGCGATCGGTTGCCTTGGTCGATCATCTTTTCGTTCGCACCATTTTCATTCACACCAACCTGCCTGTCGCCAAGCGCGTGCAAGCAGTCTGGCGCGTCAATGAGATGTTCTCGTTGTTCGGACGGGGAAAGTTTCGCGAGCATCGAATTATGGCACGTGTTTTGATACCAAAACGTGTTCCTAGATTTCTGGTTTCGGAGCAGCGGCAGTTTGTGATGAGCACTGGAAGGCGATCTATGGCTGGCTCAGGCGGCTGGCGGCAAGGACATTGCACTACAGAATGTACTCAGAATTGAATAAGACACACGCCAATTTAAGATTCGTGTCACTGCAAGGCTTGTTCTCGTCGACATAAAATAAAGCTACAAAGTGCGGTTTTCTGTAAATTTCGACCTTTGGCCTGTCAACAACATAAAAGTAGTACCAAACGTGATATCTTGTTCAAAACAATATGCTGCTGTTCTCGGTAAGCCCTATCTTTATAAGCTCGGAAACGCCGGGGAGGGTCGCATCAACCCTCTCTCCCCCTATCAGTCCGAGTTATGCAAAACGGCGAATCAGGGCGATGGTTAAGACATACAGCGAGCATAGGTGCTTAAACATACCTACAACGTACATGTAGGAGGGATGTTACTATCAGGCACATATTTCCTGAGCGTAACATTACATGAATCCACACTTTTGCACCCTGATCTGTCAGTGCCAAAGCTCTCCCGTTATGTCACTCTGGTCATAATTCGGCCAGATGTTGCGGAGGCTAGACAATCTTCACAAGAAACAGAAAATTGCACGATGTGCTGTCATTTTCACTGAAGGAGTCATCTGAATAACTTGTTAACGTCAATCACGAAAACATATATGATGCATGTGAGCATCTGGCGTGGTAGTGTTTTTAGGACATAATATTTTTGAAAGTGTATTCGCCTTGCCCTGCCATGAGACTGTGGTAGCGAGCGGAGACACTCACTGAAGCTAATTTTCGATAACAAATCCGATCGACTTAACCTACAACGGCTCTTTGTCTTGGCCGATTATGGACCACTACCTGACGCGAAATCTGATGCATGACTTTATCGCATGTCCCGACTGAGCAGCCAGATGGGGTCCACGACTTTACCAGAGAGGGATTCTTGGACAGCTAGACGCTGCTACGGTATTGTCAGAATTTTTATTTGGTAATATT